TTTTTTTTTTTTTTTTTTTTTTTTTTTTTTTTTTTTTTTTAATTTTTTTATTTTTTTTTTTTTTTTTTTTTTTTTTTATCTTACAAATTTTAATGTTTTAATGACGTTTATTATTTTTAACATTTTATTATTTATATTTTTCTATTTTTATATATTGTTCTAATTTAATTATTTATAAAAATGTCTTTAAGTATTTACTTTTATATATATTAAGTATAACTTTTTTTTCTTTTTTTTTTCAAGTTGTTCTATTTATTATGTTTTATTTTTTTTTTACATAATTGTTTGTTCCCTATCTTTTACTAATGTGAAACTTGCATTTTTTTTTTTTTTTTTTTTTTAATTATTTTCTATACTTTAAGCTAATTTTAATAAATGTCAAAATAATAAGAAAAAATTAAAAAAGAAATATTGTTAGGACGTATGTTCATTTCAAACTATATCTTTTAAATAGGATTTGAATGCAGAATTTATACTATATATTTAATGAAAAGATAAAATTATATTAATTTCATTATATTTAAATGAAAAACAATAAATATATCACCTTTTAACTACTAATGAAGTTATCTATATATATGATGGAGTAATGTAGATTAAATAATAATTAAAAAAAAAATTTAATAGTAGAAGATGAAATAGGAAAAATTTAAAAAAAAAATATTTAATTTTTCTTTTTATTTTAATTGTATTCGTGTGTATAAATTATTAAAAAATGTAAAAATTTATATTTATGAGTTTTTATTTTTATTTTGGTAATATTAAATGTTTTTATTTTATTAATAGAAAACTCAAGGGATAAAAGGGGATTTTCAGAAAAATTTCCTTTTTCTCGTTTAAATAAGAAATTTAAATACACTTATTTTTTTTTTTTCTTTTTAAAAAGAAACCTTTTTTCATTCTTTTTAAATTTATTTTTTTCATATATTTATAAATTATTTTTATTTTGTATTATTTACATTTTTTTATAATATATTAATGATAAATTAAAAAAAAAAAAATACATGTTCCATAATATTTGTTTTATTAAAAGTATTTTATTTGAATAAAAAATATTATTATTTTATAATGTAGTTTTTTCTTTTTTTTTTTTTTTTTGGTATTATAAAAAAATAAGAAAAAAAAAAGAGTTTCAAATAGAAAAGTTTTTTTTATTTTTTATATTAAAATAAATTAAAAAAATAAGGTAATTTAAAAGTACAAAATTCATATGCCAAAACAATATCTGAAATTTAATGTAGAATTTTTATGAAATAAAAGGACGATACAAAAAAAAAAAAAAAAAAAAAAAAAAAAAAAAAAAAAAAACAAAAAAAAAAAAAATATAAAAAAATAAAAAAATATAATAGAAAAAACATTAAATATAAGAAAAAATTAACACCATCTTGGAGATAAAAAAAAAAAAAAAAAAAAAAAAATTAAAATTTATTTTCATTTTTGTTAATATATTACAAGAGTTAAAGAAAAAAAAAAAGTTTGATATTTATGAAATATCAAAAATAAAAATATAAAATTCATAAGAATTTTTTTATCTAAAATAAATAAATTTTTCAATTTTAAGAATTATATAATAAAAGTTATACAAAATGGGTAAAGCTGGCAAAGGTACTGGGTCATTCGGAAAAAGAAATGGAAAAAGTCACTTTCTTTGTATAAGATGTGGAAAAAGAAGTTATCATTTACAAAAAAAAAAATGCGCATCTTGTGGATATCCAAGTGCTAAAAAAAGAAGATTCAATTGGTCAGTAAAAGCTAAAAGAAGAAATACCACTGGAACAGGTAGATGTAGATATATTAAAACATTAAGAAGAAAATTAAAAAATAATTTTACTGAAGGAAGTACACCAAAACCAAAAAAAAGATAAACTTTTTTATATTAATGTAGAATAAGAAAATAAAGAAAAAAAAAAAAGAAAAAAAAAAAATTAAATTATAATTTCATTATACTTTTTTTAAACAATATAAAAATATTTTAATTGAAGCAAAAATATTTAATACATAATATAAAATATGATAAAATTGAAATTATATATATACGGAATAAATTTCACAAAGATAAAATTACTAAAAAAGAAAAAATAGAAAATTAAAATTTTTAGTTTGAATTTTTTAATATATATTGTATTTATATTTCTTTTTTTTTTTTTATTACATTCAAATTTTCTTTTCATTCTTTTTATTTACGAAATAATTTTTGTTTAAATTATACTACATATATATATATATATATATTTATATTATTTATGAATTATAAACATGCTATTTTAAATAATATTACTTTAATAATATGAAACTAATGAAATAATTCAATTTATAAAAATATATACTATCTTTAATAGTTATATGATAAAGTGTAAAAAAGGTTATCTATATAATTTTAAAAAAAAAAAAAAAAAAAAAAAAAAGTAATAAATATTTATTAGTGTATGTTCTTTTAAATTATGTTTTTATCATTTATACTTCTAAAAAATTGTGTATAAAAAATTTTACATATTTTAATTTGTTAAATATTTAAAAATATTATGGAAAAAATAAATACAGAATGAATGGTTTTTTTTTTTTCAATTCCCAACTAAAAAAAAGGATACTGCTTTTCTGACATATAAAACATGATAATAACCAAAAATCACAAAAAGATTAGATCTGTGTTTTTATTTTTAATTTTTTTTTCATTTTTGAAGATATTAATTACTTTATTATTTATTATAATATTATCTTATTTTTTAAAAATTAAAAAAAAAAAAAAAAAAAAAAAAAATTTAAGAGTATTTCTTGTATATTGTAAAAATATATAAAATATACAATTTGTTATATATCAGGTAAAAATAAAAATTAATTAGAGACTATTTTCATTAATAAAAATGAATATATTTATTCATATATTTCTTATAACTTTAAATATCCATTTGTGTTTGTATTCAAGAAAAGCTTTTTATAGGGTTAAATGAATAAGTTCCTTATTTATCTTCTGCTTTTAGAAGAAATTCTGATATTTGACAGTTTTCAATCTGCATAGAAAAAAAAAAAATATATATATATTTGTTTAAATATTAACAAAAAATTATAATAGAAATAAAACAAATAACTGAATATACAGGAAACTAAAAAATTCTATTTTAGTATATTTCTTAATATAGATAATTCAAAAAGTAAAAAAAAAAAGATATACAAAAATAATTATTTGTCTTTTTAAATTATTTAATAAAAACATTAGAAAAAAAAAAAAAAAAAAAAATGGATTCACTTTTATATAATATACCTCATTAAGATTATATTCTTTTTCAAAAAATACAAATTTATTTATAGATTTCATATTATTTCCCTTATATTTAGAAATTTCTTTATTTAATGCATTTTTTTTTGTACTTCTTTCTTTCATGTCATTATTTATAACTTCTTTTTTTTTAATTCTTCTTCTAACATTAATAATTATTTTTTTCTTTCTTTTTTTCTTTTTTTTGATTATATGATTTGTATTATTTTTATCAATTTTATCAATTTTATCATTTATTTTATTTTTTATTTTTTCTCGTTTCATCTTATAAATAAACAACAGGATGATTAAACTATAATGTGCTGAATTTGCTTAATAGAATAAATAGATTTATAAACGAAAAAGTAGTTAAAATTATATGGTTTTACATATTAAAAAAATTAAAGAGGGAGTATATATTTTCTATTTTACACATATTAACTATATTTAAAACTAATGTTATAAAATAAAATTTATTTTTATATCTAATTTTTTATTTATATTTATTTATTTATTTTATTTTTTTTTTTTTACATAGTTGTAAAACAAGTTTTATGGCAACTATAACATTACGCACACATGCGAATAAAAATTACAAACAACAAAAA